CCACACCCACACCCTTTTTATTCTAGTCTAGTTTAGGATTTGCATATGGCTCCAATGATATCGGGACAGTATTTATACTACTATTTCGTACTTTTCAACTTAATTGGCACCATTTCATGTGCGCGTCCGACATTTAGTACCATATTTCAACTATCAGGTAGTGACGATACGGATTCACGTACTGGCTTGCCTTTGCATACAACTTTAACGAAGAAAGCACTGAATTTATCGAAGCAAGAATTTTTAAAAGAAGCAAAATCTTTGCCGACTTCATCATCGCCATACATGGTTATTGATCAGTTGAAATCTGTTCAATTAAATACAACAAGTAAATTAAACCCAACAGCATGTATCGCACTTAATGCCATTCAGTCCTTGCAATCTGTAACTTGTATCAATCGTACTATCATAATGAAATTCGACACAACAGCCAATAGTGCCTATGCATATAATGAATGGATAAAACAAAAAGTACAATTTGTTAATGGTGGACAAGAATGGAACTGCACAAACTCAACAACGAGAAAAGCTATTGTGATTATGATGAAACTCATACCAAGTACATTCAAATTAACAAAAAACCAAATTATTGTAAACACAACAAATGATACAAATATCACACCACTGGTTTGCTTTGACGATTTAAGAATAAATATGACAACAGAACAAGAAATACCAAAACCAGCAAATGCTGTAAGAAATACTTCGAACATGACGACCACTACAACTACACTACCAGTAACGACTCCATCGGCAACAACAATGACGACAACAATTCCTATAATGACTCAGACAACATCACTAAACTTGACAACAACAAGAATGAGAAGTAATCAAACACTACGTGCGAGTTGTAGCATATTCTCTTCAATTGATTCCAGCACGCTCACTTTGGTACGACAACCATCAGTCGATGCAACTTATCAACTTGGTACCACATTTTATCTGTCCTGGACCTTGAATAGCGATTTTGATACATCTATATCATTAGAAATTAAATTGAAACGTAGCGGTTTGCTTGGTATTCCTACAGACATATATACATGGTATGTAACTGCTGGGCGATACTTCTTTTCTGTCACGATATCATCACTACCAATATCTACTCGTGAAAGCTATTACTTTAGTTTTTACTGGATAAATGTGTATCGTTGTGTGTCAATACCTCATTGGAAAACGACTAACTCTTTTCGAATACCTACTGCTCCCTATATCACAGTTTACGGAGGATATCGATCTACATATTTTCCTGGTGATACTATTCATGTACAGTGGATGGTAACAAATGGAGCTTTTCCATCGGGTGCTCAAGTACTATTACGATTCAATCGTTATCGTTGGTTGATATCGGATGACACTGTTGCTTCTGTATGGGTGAACCCATCAAATTATTATTATGATTATACGATTCCTATAAATCTGCCTAAGGAAGATAACGATGATGAATATTATTTTCGATTAGACTGGTACAGTTCTTCATGGATTTCTATCACTGACACATATACAAGTGATTCAAATCATTTTTATGTACCGACAAAGCCAATTATCGTTCCACTGTTACCAGCTACCGATGATAGTTATACTGTTACTGACACCGTTAAAATTACATGGACAGCAAGAAATTTTGATTCCACATCGAGTAATTATTTGACTATTACACTAAAACGTTATAGATTGCTTTTGTGGGATGAAACAATTTATACTGTAGCATCATGTTCAAACCCACAATCGGAACTATGTTTCGATGGACAGTTATCACAAGTTCAACCTTCTGTTTCCGATTTTTATTATCACTTCTCTTGGTGTGGTTGGTGGCCTTTTTCATGCTACAAAAATGGCTTTTATTTCTTAATACCTGTACATGTCACGGATGGGTGGAATTATAATCCAGCATTAGGTAAAGCAATTTCACAAAAAACCATATATCATGCTGATTGTTCTTCCAAACCAACGGGTGTAGTTGGAAAATTATGCAATGAAAGTCGTAAAATGTCAATTGATTTAACATGTGCGAATTGTTATTTGTCATATGATTATAGTATTTTACGATTGGATCTAATTGCAAGTGGAGGTGTTCTCGGAAATATGAATATTAAATTTAAATCAACAGCAACAGTAAACATCGAATTATTGTTAGAAGTTAATTATTTGTATCAAAAACAGGACTTGATACCATTGGCCCAGTTAACCTTGAGTGGGTTCAGCTTTCGTATAAGTTCTATTTCATTCAGATTTGGCTATTTTCTCGATATAGATTTACCCTATACAGTCGAACTTAATGCAATTGGAAGTTTATCAGGAGGTTTGCAATATGTAATGAATATTAATCTTGCGTTATATGTTGTCGGTACAAGTGCTTCACATACCATCGACATGAGTTTAACAAAGAAAAATTATCCAATACAGGGTAATTTAAAAGCTAATCTGATAGTTGATGTTGCTTTAAGACCCACATTGAGAATGGATGCTATAATATTTTCTGTTGCTCTTACGACTGAGGGTTACCTGAGGTATGAAAATCTATTTCAATACCCACCATTTCCAGGAGGTTCCATTAATTATGATTATGATGTCTTCAATCCATCCATTTACCATTATTCTTACCCTTCAGATGCATGCAGCACACCACATCTTTTACGATATCATATTCAATTTGGCATCCGCAATTCACGTTTAACTTTTGACGTTAAGCTTGATCAAATCAGTAGCTATATTTCGACTGCAGTAAACATTCATCATGCACTTCAAATATTTGAATACGAACCTGTGTACGAATTAGTCAGTGGTTGCTTCTTCCAAGTACCTTATAATGATTATATACAATCGGCCGGTCTGTACTTGGACATACCATACAACGGGTCGTCTGTTTTTTCAGAATATTTTAAAACTTCAATCATTTTTGACATGGCTAAAGTTTTAAATACTGCTCCCGCACGCATACTATACAATTTATCACAACCATACTTTTATCAGGCATTACGAAGAACAATTACGTACGTTAGTTTGTCAATACTACCATATGTTATGCCAAGCAATACTGATCCAAATGTGCGAGAGTTAGCTGATAGGCTTTTGGCAAATGAATTAAACCCATCATCAGTGCTATACACAGATACAATATGGGCAAAAAAATTGGTCAACAGTTTAACGCAGCAATCTAATAACATAACTGGTATTATAACGACAACAACAACAACAACAACAACAACCCCAGGACTTACTGCACCAAGTAAGAATTCCGATGTTTTAAATTCGACTTTTGATCGACAGTCTTAACTCATAGAAGAGGAGGAGAAAGTCGTAATTTTTTCAAAAGTTAGCACTCTAGTGTTCAGAATGTCATGAACAACATGAATTTAAAATACAGACCTCCGTCAAATGACCTAAGTCATTCCAAAAATTTATACAGTTACTGAATCAAATACTACTACTATCCTTTCTTTATGCAAACCTTTGATAATAGAAGACTCGTTCCGTTCAGAATAAATTTCAATCGTCTTCAACAATAATTTGATGAGGCTAGCTGAGTTTATTATTGATTGCATTATTCTCTGATAATGTCTTATTAATAATGACGAATTGCAAAAATGAAAATCGTGGAAGTCGATTAGCTAGATTACACAAGAACCTATAAGTCGCACGAAACATTGGCAAAGATCTTGCCAGATTAGGCGAATACAGTTGGATTCAACATTTCAAAATTATGCTTTTCTAGAGCAGCATGCACGCCATCGAATGGCACAAAGAAAATCATATTTTCATTAAGTTTCAACGTGTGCTAGAATCCATATACTGATTAACACAAATGATTCCATCTAGCAAAGTTGTGACCTCAACATATATGCGTATCAACATGTGTAATGTTCTTTCTATAGCACACTCACATAGCCCTCGAATTGTTCTTCAAGCTCACACATCAAATAAATCTTCTCTTTGGTACTTGAGTAAGAAAAGCCGATCTTCTTTACCAGTAGAACTCAATTTGAGATGTTGCAGAGTTAAATAATTTTTAAAATTTCATGCAATATGCCTCCTCTTCAACCTACTACATATAATTTGAGAAAAAATTTATCAACCGTAGTACCTCTTGATGACAAATGACTCTAAACGAACATGTTCATATATATTTCAAAACTTATCACTTATCAGAAAAGTGCAACTGTTGTTCAGGTTTTCGACTTCATACTCATATTACAAAGACCATCTCGAAGAGCAAACATAGTGAGCACAGTGCACTGGTTAATTAACCATTACAATTCAGAAAAAACAACTATTATCAAAGATGTTTCCTTCAATCTCGATCAAAGATGGGCAAGTCAAGTCATTTTTTGACTTGACTCAATTTGACTTGAGAACGATCATGATTTGATTTGATTTGACTTGACTTGGCTTTTGACTTGGTTTTCAAAAATGAATCTCGAGTCAAGTCAATAAAAATTGATACATTTTTGTGACTTATGTCTCTAATTCTCGTCTACACTAAAATTAGCCACCGGAATAGAAACAAAGAAAATGAAAGACTGTCATGTACTTCAGATAAGCAGTGGTTAGATGAGAATATATAGTCAGTTTTTGACTTGACTTGACTTGCACTTTAAAAATCTTTGACTTACCCATCCCTGGTCTCGACTGTACTGATTTACTCATCCCCTAATTCGATTTACTCGCCTGTCAAGAAAAGCTGCAAGAATTGTCTTTAACTATAGAGCCAAAACCCCTTGATAATCGTTTACCGTAAATAACTGTTGATGAGTTCGCACTTGAGTGTCGGTCTATGTCAGTGCGCCCAGAAATAAAACGTCGACCTAACCGATAGCCCGACATCTCAATATCAAATGTCTCACGCTTTTCGAAGAATAAAATTATTCTCTTTGATTATATTTTCTAACAGCTCTCAACCTACTCTGTCCAACTCTGCCACTGATCAGCGATTCAACGATACTATTAGCCTCGCTTGTAAATTCATCAGCATTCAACTATACATTCTTTCAATATATATTTTATGCAATATCCAATCGTACAACTTTAGCATTTGGCTTTCGACAAGATCCAAGTTACTGGTGTATGGATGATGTTTCTGTTACACCTTATGGTGCCAGTAGCAATCTGATCATCAATGGCAGATTTGAGACAGGATCACTTTCTCCATTTGCTACATGTGCACCATTGGGATTCTATGCAAGTGGCACCATTAGTCAGAGTTATCCTCGCACTGGTAATTACAGCTACTATGATGGCACGACTGGAAGAGGGGATTATCTATTCCAAACATTCATAACTGTTCCACAAAACTACTATACCATCTCATTTTGGCTACAGAATTTGGGTTCAATACCCAATCAATTCAATGCAACAGTTGGACCAACAAGCACTATGAATGGTTAGTATTCTTGTTTCAAAATTGATTCACTCTGAATCTACTTGTTGTCCAGGACAAACAACGGTTACTCCATACACTACTCAACAACTATTCAATAGTACACGTAAAGATAAACATAGGTTCCATGTACAATAATGTATTTGTCTCTCTTTTTCAAAAAAAAAAGGCCAAACATCGACTCAGACAATGCTCAATACCACTATGCACAATTCAAGTATGAGTAATAGTCTAACTTACAGCTAACTGTAGCTATAACTTTTCGTCCATGTAGAATTAGGTTCAATGAGAAATATATCTTTTCAAAGAGAAAAAAGAACACATCGTCTTGAGAACCATGTACTCGCTGATATTGCTTAAGGCCCCCCTCCACTCAAAAATCGATCCCAGCCCAGAAACGTTCAAATGGGCTGAAATTTGGAGCATATATTGGGAATGAAGTGAGGAGGCTGTGGTAAAATTTTCAGCTCGATTGATTGATATTTAATAGAAATATGAACCAAACAAGGGTCAAAAACAGCTCATTTTCGTTCCGAGATTTCTCGGTCCGGACTCATGCAATATCGTTTTTTTTTACTAGAAAGAGCATGTCAAGATGCAGAACACCACAGATTCCTTTTTTTAAATTCTTACTTTTTTAGCGAAAAAAGGGGATCACAAGTTCAATGACTTAAAAAACGCGCCAAAAATGGGTGTCTAGTTACATAAATGTCTGTATACATAACAAAAAACAAAGCTTAATCAAAAAAAGGACTCTGTGGTGCCCTGCATCTCGACATGCTCTTTCAAACAAAAAAAAATTAAATATATTGACAGAGCCTGTACCGAGAAATCTTGGAAGTAAAATCGATAAATCATAAACCGAGAAAAAACAAAAAATATCTTTTGATTTTTCAAGAAGCAGCTGGTTTTTCGAATAGGGGTTGACGGAAATCTTGAAAATTTTTTGGGAAAAATGAAGTAACGAGAAAAACAAATTATCGTTTATGAAAGAGCAGATGACGGGCTATCTTCCCATGCATTTATCTCAATTTCGAAAATTCTGACGAAAATTTACTTTTTTGGAGGGGGGGGGGGGGGGTCTTAAGAGAAAAGTTCACAAGAGTGGCTAACCTGAAAAAATTGCTAAAACGAGCCAAGCATTATGACATTAGACGATAATGGTGAAAAAGATAAAAATATTGAAAGAAACACATTCTGCGCCACGAGTCAAGAGTAGAGTTATTGGCTAATATAAATCAATCAACGGAAACGTATATCCACAATTTATTTTTTTGTAATCTATTGAATCAATTATTTATCTTTCCGATATGTCTTTGTTGAAAAGCAGGCATCTACATTAACATAGACATTTCATAATTATTGAAGCTGAAGATTTGTATACTGTTGATTACGATGTGACATGTACGTAAATGATCCATAAATGTTTATGGAAAAAAGTCATCTATTTGGAAGCAAAACTTTGACAGTCGAATATAACAGTCTGCTGTATTGAGGAGCCTTTTTTGAATCTTGATAGAAGTCCGATTGAACTTTGAATGAAGTCCAGAGAAAAAAATGCGTACTAGAGCATTGCCACAGGAACTTTCAACAAACACATTAGTTTTGTATTTAAATTGTTTGTTTCTTATTGCGAGGGGTTCAAAAATGCCGGTTCATAATTGCAACTCGTTTTTTCAATCCAAAAACACCTCCTAATAATTTCGTTTAAAAGCATTTTCTTGATTGCATTCGGACACATTTATTTTTCATGTATTGAAACCCGAGCTTTTAGCGTTCTTTCACAGAAAAACAAAGTTTTTACAAGAGCGTTGAAATGCTTTTTCTCTGATACATTTCTCCCTTGAATAAATGAGATTTTGTTTACAGCCAAGAAAGATATAAATATACGCATTCGTAACTTGAGAAAAAATGGTTGTTTATGAAGAAAATTCTGCTACTGTTTAGAGAAAAACTTTGCAGCGTTAGACTCAGAAATATATCGCTCAAATAGACCCCTTATAAACATGAATTTTATGAATATCGTGCAGTACACTCTAAGAAAAATCCGTCGTGTAGGAAACCCTTAATGGGTTTGCGAACTTGTTACTATCGGAAACCTTTTAAGGGTTTCCGAGAAAAGGTTTCCGAGCACTCGGAAACCCTGCATTAGCATATTTTACTACCACAACACACCAACCATCGGAAACGCATTAACTGTTCACGAGCAGGTTCCAGAACAAGTAGATACCTTACTTCGGTCAATTAAAATAACCCTTACATGAGCCACAAAAGCCCT